TCCATTTTAGACAACAAATGATTGATAAATTTCTATTCAGATCTGTTAAAACTAATTAGTTACCTGGCAGAAAACAGTTTCTCAATACTGAATAAGGCCTCCAGACAACAAGCAGTTTACAAAGACCACCAGATACCGCTGGGAATGATCTGTACTTCTAACTGAACTATGTACAAAGAACATATTTTGTTCCAGGCAAATACATTGCTATAATTTTTTGAAACAAAGAACATAAGCAATAACAGCAGATTAGGAGAACTTCAAACAAGCATTAAGTCAGAAAATAAGGGAATCATAGCTGCTAATTAGAAGAGCATTAATTCCCCGTGGTAGAACAACCAAAAATCTTGGAAACAAACAAGACAAAGGCCTTAAGTATGCCCGAAAATCATACTGATTCATTATTCCTACAACATAATGCCCAACTGTGGTCTCTGAACCAGTGCAGTTCACAAGGACAATGAGAAGGGGAAAACTAGAAGAGAAGCCTCATAATGAGAAGTCGAGCAATATTCAGACATGAGGAGTTCAGCAAGCAGCCTAAGTCAAAAGTTTTGATGCACTGTGCATCAAACTTAGCAGGCCTCCACATCTCCTAGCCATAAGGATCAAAACAACCAATCCTGTTGCAATCAATTTACCAACAGAAGACAGTTACGTGCAAAGGAATTCACAGGCTAGATAAACATGAGGGCTATTCAGTCTGGTTTATCAAAAGCTAAGGATTTTTAATAGAAAATGAAAGTTACACTGACACTTTTATTTAATAGATGTTTTCCCCTCTTAGTTATGTTGCCCAAATACCTTAAAATTGGTCTTGTATTTCAATGACAATTTGCATTTTCATGGCACTTCTTTTAAAATTAAATCTCACTACAGACTTCATTGTAAAGCAGTTAATTATATAGTAGTTGCAGTGTGGCCACATACAGACAAATAACGACATCCTCTGAATGCTTATTTGTTTGCAATAGGCAGTCCTGAACATCTGCATTGATTTCCAACTATTCATCATTAATGTTGATTTTGTCAGCTTTGAATATAACTGGAATAAACTATGGAAGACAAATTGAAATAATTACACTCACGTATTATGACAGTTTTTAATCAGCAATTTCCACTCCCAACTAGCAACAGTCACACTGGACCTAACATCTTGTGCTCAAATCAATCTCTCATGGACAGATCAAGCAGAGTTGTACTTGGGTAGTGTACTACCACAAAACTGATTTTTTTTGTTTTGTTTTCAAAGAATAAGTAAAGATGAAGAACAGCTTCTGTGTTCTTTATAGTACCAAAAAGAGTACTTTCAAGTACTACGCTTCTAACGCTGTAACTTCTGAAACACACACAATTTAACATGCATTAGAGGTATATGATAAGTTCATAAGATACTTGAAACTTTTAGGGGAGGATTTACACATCTGTTACTCATTTAGACTGCAGCAGCACAAGTTCTTTGGGAATATCTCTAACTGTGGGTGCAGTGAAACACTAGATGCAGAAGTTCCTGCTACAGCCTTGTACATCAGGTCAAAGTGACATAAGTAACATTACATACACCTGGGCTACAATAAGCTTGTCCTTGTTATAGCACCTGCCAGGAGATTACCTGAAGCTGACTACACCAAAATAGTTTCCAGCTGAAAACAAGGCACTTTGCATCACTAGCTTTCAAGTGAACTCATGTACTTAGTAGAAGGGAACACTATTTTTACTGGAAAGTATATCTGAGATGTGGAACTATAAAAATGGTATCCCATTAAGGATTATTGTACTATAAAGCTATAATTCAGTTTTAACTCATTTTATAGGCCTCAGTTATACAGTACAGATAAAAAGAATCAGTATAACATTAAAAAGCTGTGCAATAAGTATCAGTTTTGTAAACCACTAGGAAGACCTGTAGGCAGCACATGTCCATCTTGGCTATAATCACGTTAACAGGAAGTGAATGGCTTGATAAAATTGCAAAGGAGAATTAAGTGAGCTAGGCTTTCCACAGTTAGCTATATCACATTAAGACTTACTTTTTTAAGCCTCGCATAGATTCATATAATTTAGCATTACCCAACTACCTCATATTTTTGTGTGTCTCAGTGACAACAGAAGGCAGACTTCGCTCCAAGATACTTTTTTTGTACCATTAGATCTGTACCCCTACATAGGTTACCATTTACAGATGCTCAAGTTGCCCTTAAAAATTTAGTTTCCAAACACTAGAGCAGAGAACAAAACTTGCTTATAGGTCAGCAACCAGTTACTCATCTCTACAGTAAAACTTTAGTTTTAAATTTGACTATAC